TTGACAGATAGGACCGCTCGGGCTGGTGTGGGCTTACGTGGCAATTCTGTACCACCCGAGGGGGATATATGATGATGTTCGGGTTGCCCCTTCAAGGCGTACTTCCGAAGCCTCGATCATCGGTCCTCCTCCCTTTCCTCCCGCCCCTCCTGCTGCTCCTCGCCCACTGGCCAGCAGCACCACAATGCCAGCCTGCCTCCAGAGGCCCCTGGAGCTCCCAGAAAGGGCTAAGACCGTCCCAAAACCTTGATCTCCTCGATCCGCCCTCCCCCTGGCTTCCGCTGCCCCTGCTGCTCTTCGACTCCTCGCCCCGCTTAGTTTGTCCCACCGCAGGGCGCAAGGCCGCCCAAGCACCTCGATCCTCGACTGCTCCCCCCCCTCCGGCTCTTCCCTATTCTTCCGCTGCTCCTGCTCCTCCCTCTCCTGCTCCTCCTCCTCTTCCTCCTCCCTCTCCTGCTTCTCCTGCTCCTCCTCCTCCTTCTCCTCCTCCTCCTCCTCCTCCTCCTCCTCTGAGTTCGCTGCTCCCTGCACTCCTAGAGGCCTCCTCAAGGGGATCCCTCCCTCCCTCGCCCCGTCTGCTTTCTGGCCGCGTTGCAGGAAGACGCGTCCAGATGCCCCACTCTTCGTCCCTTGCTTGAGCTCGCAGCGTGTCCCAGGAAGCGTTGTCCTACTCGTTCCCAATACGCGTGTCCCGAAGCTTTTCTGTGAAGCGTCTCCGCAGGTCCTTGGAAGTTCCCGGATAGCTCCTTAGAGCTACGTTAGGGTTGTTAGATTAGAAACCGGGGCCGCAGGGTCGCCTCCCTCCGCTGTGGCCTCCAGCCGCTCCGGGGCAGCGGGCTTCGATCGGAAAGGTAAGACATAGGCCCGGATAGCTTTGTGCACTTCATCCTGGATGTTGTTGCGATGTCCGAGCGCTTTTTTTAGTCGGGAAATGGGACTTCCAACCCTCCACGTGAAACTAATTGCTTCATTCCCAACCATCCTGTGGTATTGGGTCCTCGTTTTGAAGAGACGGTGCCCCGCGTCTCCTCCCGCTGCCCCCTCTTCCTCCCCCTCCTCCCTCCTCCTTGCGTTTCACCCACCCAGTACAGCGTTTCGTGGCCCCATAGGGAGCTCCACCGAATGCCCCAGTGGCAGGGTTCGCATAGCGGCCCCGCGTTTTGGCGCTCCCCTCACACGGTTCGTAGCCCCATAGGGAGCTCCACCGAAAGGCCCCGGTGGCAGGGTTCGCATGGCGGCCCCGCACCATTTTGGCGCATCCCTCACACGCTTCGTGGCCCCATTGGGGGGTTCCCCCGAAGGCCCCAGTGGCAGGGTTCGCATGGCGGCCCCGCGCCAGTTTGGTGCACCCCTCACACGGTTCGTGGCCCCATAGGGAGCTCCACCGAAGGCCCCAGTGGCAGGGTTCGCATGGCGGCCCCGCGCCAGTTTGGTGCACCCCTCACACGGTTCGTGGCCCCATAGGGAGCTCCACCGAAAGGCCCCAGTGGCAGGGTTCGCATGGCGGCCCCGCGCCATTTTGGCGCACCCCTCGCACGGTTCTTGGCCCCATAGGGGGCTCCACCGAAGCCCCAGAGGCAGGGTTCGCATGGCGGCCCCGCGCCAGTTTGGTGCACCCCTCACACGGGTCGTGGCCCCATAGGGAGCTCCACCGAAGGCCCCCGTGGCAGGTTCGCATGGCGGCCCCGCACCATTTTGGCGCACCCCTCACACGGTTCGTGGCCCCATAAGGAGCTCCACCGAAGGCCCCAGTGGCAGGGTTCGCATGGCGGCCCCGCGCCAGTTTGGTGCACCCCTCACACGGTTCGTGGCCCCATAGGGAGCTCCACCGAAGGCCCCAGTGGCAGGGTTCGCATGGCGGCCCCGCGCCATTTTGGCGCACCCCTCGCACGCTCTGTGGCCCCATAGGGGGCTCCACCGAAGGCCCCAGTGGCAGGGTTCGCATGGCGGCCCCGCGCCAGCTTGGTGCACCCCTCACACGGTTCGTGGCCCCATAGGGAGTTCAACCGAGAGCCCCAGTGGCAGGGTTCGCATGGTGGCCCCGCACCATTTTGGGGCACCCCTCACACGGTTCGTGGCCCCATAGGGAGTTCCACCGAACACCCCAGTGGCAGGGTTCGCATGGCGGCGTCGCGCCATTTTGGCGCACCCTTCACGGTTCGTGGCCCCATAGGGAGCTCCACCGAAGGCCCCAGTGGCAGGGTTCGCATGGCGGCCCCGCGCCAGTTTGGTGCACCCCTCACACGGTTCGTGGCCCCATGAGGAATTCCCCTTGCTTCGTCCCACCTGCCTTGCGGTTTTCACACTTGCGTATGGTTGGGTCCTTCGCCTGGATAATTTTTAGTTTTTTTTGGGCGTTTCATGTGCATATATCCGTGCATATATCCTTCTTAAGTTTTACGGTAGCCAGTCTGCAAGACCAGAGCCGTGACTCGCCGTCCGCTCCTGTCCTTGGCGGCCTGCTCCTTAGTCGCTGCTCCTGCTGCCTCTATTTCGAAAGTAGAATACTAATAGTACCACTTGTAGTATCAGCAGGCTGATAGTCATTATACTTCGAATAGTTATATAGATGCGACGAATACTATACTATTGCTTGTGCCACTGGTCGTATTTCAAACAACGGTCGTAATACTAACACTACTAACTAGTACTAGCGGTACTGATATCAATCATGTTCATATTTTGTAAAAAGGATCATAAGAGGAATTATAATACTGATAATGCGAAGCGTCGGCATGATCATAGACTTTCGGAGGTCATTCCTTAGATCGGCACTGTACCCCCCACCCTCCCTAACGCGCACCGCGGACCTCTGGAAGCTTACGTTTATGTTTGTGCCGATGCTTATCATTCTTCTTATTCTACCACTCCTCCTCCTCCTCCTCCTCCTCCTCCTCGTCCCTTTTCCTGCTCCTTCTTCCTTTTCTTCGGCAGGCTGCATGGCAAGTTCCTTCTCTGTTTCTTTTGGGCAGACGGTATGGCGATTTCCTCCTCCTCCTCCTCCTCCTCCTTGCCTGGACCGCCTTCACAGGTGGAGACCGGCCTGCCGCTGTGCGCCCTGCCGCTCACCGCACAGCAGGGCTCCGTGGCCGTCACCGCGGCGGGCCGCGGCAGCCACGACGGCACGGAGGAGGAGGAGGAGGAGGAGGAGGAGGAGGAGGAGGAGGAGGAGGAGGAGGAGGAGGAGGAGGAGGAGGGGGCGGAGGAGGGAGGGAGGAGGAGGAGTGAGGAGGAGGAGGGGAGAGAGGAGGAGGACGAGGAGGGGGCGGAGGAGAGGAGGAGGAGGAGGAGGAGGAGGAGAGGAGGAGGAGGAGGAGGAGGAGGAGGAGGAGGAGGAGGAGGATGAGAGGAGAGGAGGTGAGAGGAGGAGGAGGAGGCAGGGAGGAGGAGGAGGAGGAGGAGAGGAGGAGAGGGGGCGGAGGAGGGGGCGGAGGGAGGAGGAGGAGGAGGAGGAGGAGGAGGACGAGGAGGGGAGCGAGGAGGAGGAGAGAGGAGGAGGGGAGGAGGGAGGAGGAGGAGGAGCAGGAGGAGGAGGAGGAGGAGAGGAGTAGGAGCAGGGGGAGGAGTGGAGGAGGAGGAGTAGAGGAGGAGGAGGAGGAGGAGGAGGAGGAGGAGGAGGGCGGGAGGAGAGAAGGAGGAGGAGGAGGAGGAGGAGGAGGAGGAGGAGGAGGAGGAGGAGGAGGAGGAGTTGGGGCATGAGGAGTGACAAGAAGGAGAAGGACGATCGGGAAAGCGGAGGAGGAGGAGGAGGATGGTCGGGAAGGAGGAGGCTGAGAGGCAGGAGGAGGAGGATAATAAACTGGAGTGCCCAAACTACGATACTGGAATCTAAATTTGGTCACAATATTTGAGGTTCCTCGTCTTCCTCTGCGGAGGAGTAGGGGTGAATTATGATGATAATGACGATGTCGACGATGATGATGATGATGATGATGATGATGATGATGATGATGATGATGCTGATGATGCTGCTGCTGATGATGATGAGGGTGGTGGTGGTGGTGGTGGTTGTTGAGGATGATGATGGTGGTGGTGGTGAGGATGAAGAGTAGGATGATGATGAATCTGCTGCTGCTGCTGCTGCTGACAATGATGATGATGATGATGATGATGATGATGATGATGATGATGATGATGATGATGATGATTATGATGATGATGATGATGATGATGATGATGATGATGATGACAATGATGACGATGACGACGACGATGATGATGATGATGCTGATGATGATGATGATGATGATGATGATGATGATGATGATGACGACGACGACGACGACGATGATGATGATGATGATGATGCTGCTGCTGCTGCTGATGAAGATGATGATGATGATGATGATGATGATGATGATGATGATGATGATGATGATGATGATGATGATGATGATGATGATGATGATGCGGTCGCTGCACATAATGATGCTGCTGCTGATGATGCTGCCGCTGCTGCTGATTATGGGAACAATGGTGATGATGATGGTGATGATGGTGATGATGGTGATGATGGTGATGATGGTGATGATGATGATGATGATGAGGAGGAGGAGGAGGCGGAGGAGGAGGAGGAGGAGGAGGAGGAAAAGGAGGAGGAGGAGTAGAGGGAGGAGGATTGCTGACCTGCGGAATTGCGGATTGCAGAGGAATTGAGGGCCCTTGGGGCGGAGGAGAGCGCGTGGCTCGGGATGGGGGAGGACCAGCCTGGCCGAGGTGACGCGGCTGTCGCAGCCTACGTCGCCATCGGTGCGCGCGTCAGCACGACCTCCCCTACGATTGTGGAAGTCGATTAATGGAGAGGAAGCATGCTGCCAAACAGTTTCCAGATGTCCAACAAATCTTTCAAACATGCTCTAACGCTATAAAAAACATGTTTTAAACATTTTTAGAACATGTTTTTCCCAGTTTAATCACATGTTTAAGTCAATGATCGGATTGTTAGAGTGTCCATTGTCGTGGCATCCACAACCCTACGAGGAGTTCTTCATGGACGCTTCATGGCAATCGCGAACTCCTCCGACACCGCGTGCCCCACGGCTGTCACTCTCAGCCTTCGCGACACAGCCGCCGTGGAGAGCGAGGGCCTGGCGATGGCGGCAGCCGTGGTCCGCGACTCCTCCATCCGCGTCGCCTTCGACCACGTCGCCTCAGCGCCGCAGCTTCTCACCACAGGTATGCCAGAGGGGAGGCGGCTCGCGCCGGCCTTCTTCGCGTGCTCAGCCATGTTCGACTAGACGTAAGAGTGACCTTTCGCCGGAGTGACCTTTGGTGCGGGCACAGATGAGTCCCCAGATGGCTGAAAACGAAGCGGTAGCAGCTGCTCGCGCACCCAGGTTTGGCCCCCCGCGGCCCCCATAAAGCCGCGCACCGAAGGTCACTCTTACCCAGGGTCACCCCTGCGTGCTCAGCCATGTGTTGTCCGGTCGCCACCGCGGCGGCCCACCTTGGCGTGGGCCTCGACCCGCCGAAGGAGGCCGTGCGCGCCCTTCGCTGGAGCCGCTGGGGCAGGGGCGACGCGACCGAACCGGACCGCGCGGTTGGCCGAGGAAGCAGCGAGGGCGGCAGCAGCGGGGGGAAGAGATCTGGGACCAGGTCAGGATCGATGCCACCCATCGGGGGTGTACAAAACCCCCACCCTGACACGTCGATTAGTGAATTGCCCGTTTTCGGTTCTCGAGAGGGCGCCGCGGTCGTCATTTTCCAGTCTTGCGCCCGCCAGGTTTGGGCTCGAGGTCGTTTTCACTAAGCCACGTTTTGCTAAAGGGGGTTCTGCCCATCCCCGAACCTACGATGCCGATCGGCTTTGGATCGCCGACGCCGCGGACCCCACGAAAGTCGGCTTTACGCAGTTCACGGGCGACAGTTTCCTCCGATCCTCCCCATGGGAGGCCCAGGCCGCGGGCGCGCGGGCGCTGCAGGCCGCGGCAGAAAGCTTGCGCGCAGAGGTCCGACACGGGCAGGGCAGGACGGCGTGCCCGTCGGAGGGCTTCAGACCCGCCTCCCGCATGGCGGCGCGCAGTGTGTCGAGGAGCACACGTAGGTGGCCACATGCGAACCCCACCCTCCCCCTCAGAAATCGTGGGGGGTAGGGGTAGGGCTCGCATGTGGCCCCCTCGCACGTACGTCGGAGTCCCCATCGACGGAGCAGCACGCACCACGGCGCTCGTGCAGCACGTTGAGCACGCCGCAGTGCGGGGCCGGATGACCACCCTCACGGCCCTGGAACTCTCCAGGGTGCCCACACCCACAACGCTGGCCCTCCCCGCGCTGGACGCCAGCCTCCTCGTCGCCCGCCCCGGCTTGGAGGCGCGGCGGGATGCCGTTCAGGGCCGGTGGGCCAGCCGCCTCCTGGACGTCAGCACCCCAATGCCGGGGGTCTTCCTCCTCCAGGAGCCCGGCCTCCGCAGCGGCTCTCCACCCAGACCCTCGGAGCAGCGGCGGCACTGGCGGCCAGAAGCGACACCACCACGCCCGGGTCCCAGCCCAGCCGGGTGTCGCGCGTCGCGGCGCAGGCAGACCCCTCGTGGATGTGGACGCTGCGCGCCTAGTTCGCAGAATACGCAATCCCGGAATAGGCGGCATGGTCCCCCGAGAAGTTCCGGGAAGCCACGAACGCCCCAGCCCGTGCGGGCAGGAAGCGGCACAGTCGCACATACCTGACGGAGGCAGTTGGCCCCCTGTTGGCAGAGGTCGAGCTGGGATGGCGCACCCGCCAGGCGGCCGCCTACCCGCCGCGGGGTGAGGGCGCGGCGATCCAGGCGGCGACCGTGACATCGGCCCCATGGTCAGCCATCCGGGCGTGGGCGCAGCTGCGCTTCCAGGGCCGCCCCACCACGCACACGACCGCTTCTCGAGCTGTGTGTGCACGGTGCGGGGATGCCATTTCCCGAGACGGGGTTGCTGCCAGGCCGAGGAGGCGGCCCGCGAGTTCGCGCGCGGCACAGCGTGGACGGAGCCGCCGACGGCCATCCTCACTGGATTGCGCGCTGGCCTGGACATTGAGGCGGGGTGGCGGTCGCCGCGAATTTGGCGCGGGAGGCCCGCGCCGTGATGACAGCCCATCGGGGCACGGCGCCATCCGCTGACACTGGCGCCGCCTGGGTGCACCGCCGCCACCTGCGCCCCGCCGTCGCCGAGCGCCGCCAGCGGGATGCCAAGAGGCGCTGGAAGCCGCCGGGGCGCTCTTGACAGGTGTCGCCCGCGCCCCGCCGCCGCCGGCCCTGGTGCCCGCTGACGCGGGGGCTAGGGAAAAGATCCGTGAGCGCCCAGTCCGACGCCGAGGCAAAGTCGCACTTCTGTGGGCGACCCCTGGGCCTGGGTTGAGCCGCTGGCAGTGCCACGGGGCCCATGTAGCATTTTTTGTTTGAAGGGCGTTCGCCCACAGGCGCTGCGCATGCACCAGGCTGTGGCGACCTCCCAAAGAGATGGAGGGGAGGGAGGGGGCGGGGTCGTTGTCCGAAGGTATATATTGCTTCAGTGCGGGGCACATTCGTCTTGGAAGTTTGCAGCAGCTACAAGGGTGGAGGGCGACCCCTTTTCAATGCTTTGCTCTCGCTTTAGCGTCGCGTGCATTCTTCTCCAAACCTTGCAGTGTATGTGAGGATCGAGCTTAGGCTGTTTTCAAAATGGTGGTCTCACCTTCGCGCCAGGGGCATTCGTTTTCATCCGTGCAACATTAAGAACTCTGGAGGGTGGCTCTTTGTCAAAGTGGGTTTTCAGTGGGGACGTCGTTGATTTTAAAGACTTGGCCATTCAGCACATGTAGAACTGCACGGATACATGGCGGCTCTTTTCCATGATGGGACTCTGGTTTGGGACTGCCGCGAAGCTCAAGACAGCAATCCAAACTTGTTCAACATTTTCGCACGTGGAGGGCAGTCCTCTGTCCAAACAAACATGTCGTTGGATTCGTAGGTATTCGATATCATGATTCGGCGCCAGAGAGGTGGAACCCATTTCCTTCTCATCTTGGGCCCGCGCCACGATGGCAGTCCCAACTGCGCTGATCTTCCAGGGGGCGCTTCATGCAGTGGAGAAGGAAAGCTTCTAGGAACGTGCGAAGAGGGACTTGGGACGGCGTGGTGTATTGCAGCATCGCTGATGCGTATTTACTCTGGTCATCCTCCTCGTCCTCCCTCCCTCCCTCGCTCCTTTATTCCTTCGTTCCTTCCCTCCTTCCTTCCTCCTACTTCTGGAGGTGGCGCTGCATGCGGAGCGGCTGCCGACGGAACTGGGCGACACGTGGGAACCGCTGCCGGACCCAGGGGGAGGGGCACCTCCCTCCTCCCGTCCTCCTCCCCCTCTCGGGGGCCCCCAAACGGGGTGGTGACCACACCGTGTAGCGAGTCGGCGGGGATTCGGGGTCACCGCACGGTTTTGGGACTCGAGCCCCTCCCCGAGGATGTCTCGGGCGACAGGGGCCTCCGAGGTCCCAAAACCGTTCGTGGACGGACCGCGCGGGGAGGTCTTGGGGGACTTCGAGGTCACCGCACGGCCTGTCACCGCATCGTTTCGGGACCCCAAACCCTCCTCCTCTCCTTCTCTCCTCCTCCTCCTCTCCTCTCCCTCCTCCTCTCCCTCCCTCCCTCCTACTCCCCTCTCCTTCTCCTCCTCCTCCTCTCCTCCTCCCCCTCCTCCTATCCTCCCTCCCCTTCCTCCTCCTACCTCCTTCTCCTCCTCTTCTCCTCCTCTCCTACTCCTCCTCTCCTCCTCTCCTCCTCTCCTCCTCTCCTCCTCTCCGCCTCTCCTCCTCTCCTCCTCTCCTCCTCTCCCTGCTCCTGCTCCCGGAGAGGCGCGCCCCGAGCCCGCAGCGCGGCTTCCTTCCGGGGGCGGGGCGCTCCCGGGAGAGAGTGTGCGGCGGCTCCATGCCCCGGCGAGGGCCGGCGTGCTCGGCTCTGGTTTTCGGACCGTCCATCCTCCTCTTCCCTCCTCCTCCTCCTCTTTTTCCTCCCTCCTCCTCGTCCTCCTCCTCCTCCTCCTTCTTACTCCTACCAGCCTACCTCTTTTTCCTCCCTCTCCTCCTCCTCCTCCTCCTCCTCATCTCCTCCTCTGGCCGTGGACGGCCCGAACGTGTGGGAGGGCGGTGGCCCCTCTTCAGCTGCAGCGCAGGGGCGCCGACGGCGAGATTGCTGGGGCCAGGCGACATCGGCAGCGCGAGGGTGGCCTGGGCACCCCCCGGCCGCCGCCGTCTGGGCCCCCTTCGCGAATGGCTCCTGGCGTAGACCTCGAAGTAGCCCACGAGGTGGTCTTCCTCCTCCTCCTCCTCCTCCTCCTCCTGTTCCTCCTCCTCCTCCTCCTCCTCCCTCCTCCTCCCTCCCCTCCCCTCCCTCCTCTCTCCCCTTTTCCTTTTCCTCCTCCTTCTCCCTCCTCCTTTTCCTTTTCCTTTTCCTTTTCCTTTTCCTTTTCCCTCCTCCTCCTTCTCCTCCCTCCTCCTCTTTCTGGAGGCGGGCCCCGCCGCGGCGACGCCCAGAGAAGCTTCCTTCGAACCTCGATCCCTGCTGCTGCTGCTGCTGCTGCTCCACCTCCTCCTCCTCCACCTCCTCCTCCTCCACCTCCTCCACCTCCTCCACCTCCTCCTCCTCCTTTTCCTTTTCCTCCTTCTCGTCATCCTCGTCTTCCTCCTCTTCCTTTTCCTCCTCCTTCTCCTCCTTTTCCTCCTTCTCCTCCTTCCACCTCCTCCTCCTCCTCCTCCTTCTCCTCTTTTGAACCTCGATCCCTGAACCTGCTGCTGCTGCTGCTGCTCCACCTCCTCCCCTCAACGATCGCGCCCGCTGGCCTCTCCACAGGTGCATTCTGGCCAGACTAATTAGGTGGCCTTCGGAGCACCCCTCACGAGGTGCGACGGAGGGCCCGAGATGGCGCACAGCGCCGCCGAGACCTCATGCCAGGCACTGTTCCCCAGATTTCCGGCGTCGTGATTTTCTAACAGCGTGGACCCTCCGAGATCTGGGCCTCTTCGCGACCGGTTTTCCACCCCGAGCTGGCTTCTGGCGGCCGCAGGGACTGGCCAGGGCCCCCAGAGGTCAGACGCCGCCAAAGTCCTCCCGTCGTGCTTCCCTCGGGACGAGAGGAGGCCGCAGCCCCGAGGCCTGGATCCTCGAGAGTGTTGTTCCACCCTCTGCGCCATGATGCGCGTCATGCCTCCCCCCCCCGTGCACTGGCGCAGTGCGTCCGGCACCATAGTCTGGGGGAGGGGGGTTATGCACGCTCCCGCCCCCCCCCCCATCCTTCTCCTCCTCCTCCTCCTCTTCCTCCTTCTC